GCTACAAAGTTCCAAACATAAAGCTGCCCTCCCCCCCCCCCCCCCCCCCCCCCCCCCCGGAGTGGATGCACACAAAACAACAAAAACCAACCTTGGCCCTTACATGGGAAATATTAGAAAAAGTCTGCTTTGTCACTTTGGATTTTTTCCTACTCAGAGGAAATTGATTATATATTGAGCAGGCAATGAAACCTGACGTTTATGTGTTAAAATAGGAGCTCATCAGGCTTTGCTTTAGTTCCCAGGGCTAAATATGGCAGCTTTATGTTTGGAACTTTGTAGCCCATGGAGAAACAGACATTAATCATAAACAGGTATCAGAATTCAAGTCCTCGAAACATGATCCTCTTTGATCTCTGAGAGTCACTATCTAAAGGCCTCTTTTGGAGATGGTTATTATTTTTCTAGTAGTTACTGTCCTTATCCACAGGTAACACAAGTTCTGCATGATCAGGCCCTCCTCTTTAATCCTCCTGTGCCCTGAATGTGTAGTGTGCTATTTAAGGTGAAAGGGGGCAGGAGCTCTTACGATCCCCATGCTTATGTAAGGAAAAGAGAACCCTGTTAGTGTAGTGCAAGCTTCTGGACTGCATGCTTACTTCAGGAAATGTATGTTTATTTTATTGCCATATGTGTCTGGGTCAAAGAGTAACCAAGTCCGTTCAGCTTGTAGTTCACGGAGTGAACTAATTCTGCCGTCCCTCTTGCAAGGAGATGGGTGGAGGAAGCCCTTCTTTCCCTTCAGAAAAGCCAAAGAGAGACCCAGAACTTGAGCATTGGGAACTGCTTGGAGCAATGGCATTTGACCCTAACTGTCAGTTTGCTTTCAGATAGAGCTCCCGATGATTTAACAAGTCTCAGTTTATGGCTTGGTCTCATAATTAAATGGTAGTCTTACAATCCTTAGAACTTGTTTTTCACTCTGAATTCAGCAGGCATCTGCTAAGGATTGTCCGTGTACGCAGTCCTGTTCTGGGCGTTGTGAAGAGATCAGAGCTGTTGAAGATAACGATTTCTGTCATTAAGAAACTTCTTCTCTGGGAAGCCTAAGGCTAGTCTTGGCGGGAATGGGCCCCCAGACCATCTCGTCTTTAAGCGGTTGCAGGGATTTGGGGCAGCTGTGCTAGCTGTGGGCTGGCCTTTCCTCATGCGGAAGCAGCTCGAGAGCTTACAGATTCCGCAGCGAGGCGACCACTGACCAGTAGGAAGACAGCTGAATGGAGAATCAGATGATCTTGCTTCTAGTTCTGTTTTCTAGTTGTGTGACCTTTGCCCAGATACTTAAAGGTCACTTGGCTAGTCAGTAGGAGAGAATTGGACTTCATCTCTCAGATGCTCTTCTGAAAGTCCGCTGGACTGCTGGCTGTCTCTCCGGGGCCCTTTCTTCAGGCTGTTTGCACAAACCTAGCAGACAGATCATTGGGAGCACTGACTGTGTTGCCTTCCCAGGGTTATCAGAAAACTTGTTCATTCGTTCATGTGTCACTTACACATTTGTTACTATGTGCCTAGCACTGTGGGATACAAGGATTAATAGCCCTTCTGATTTGGAAAGGCCTTTGCTCCATCAGCCAACCATTAAAGCAACTCTGAGTTGATCATCTGTACAAAAGAAACACGTTCCTCACACAGCACTAGCCATGTAATAGGGGAGATAAGGTTAGCATTCTAAGTGGTTACAGAAAAAAAAAAGTATGCGTTTGTACAGATGCTAAGTTACAGTCTTTTGAATTGGTGCCATAAGGGGTAGTGTTCAGAGAAGATAGAAAGGAAATCGTTTTATTTTTATTTTTTTTTCAAAATAACTTTGATTATATAACAAAGAACAAAACAAATTTGATTCTTTTTTTTTAATTTTTTTTTTTTACTGTGTATTTATTTTTGAGATAGAGACAGAGCATGAGCAGGGGAGGGGCAGAGAATGAGAGAGACATAGAATCTGAAGCAGGCTCCAGGCTCTGAGCTGTCAGCACAGAGCCCGATGCGGAGCTCGAACTCACAGGCCGTGAGATCATGACCTGAGCCGAAGTCGGACGCTCAACCAACTGAGCCACCCAGGCACCCCAAATTTGATTCTTTTAACCCAGGATTTCCTCTGAGATGCCTGAGAGAAGATGAAGGCTGGTTTTGCCTATGTTTGTTTGCAGTCCAGAGGAGCGAAAATTGATAGCTGTAGATAATCATTTCCCTTTGGGTGTTTTTTCATCTGCGTATAAATTTAGTTTTGTTCCTCCGTGTGCACCAGCTTCCCAACCGTCCAGACCCTTCACGATGGTCTGTCTTACCTTGACTGGTCCGTCTCAGTCACTGTAGTATATCTGGAGTAGATGATAAAATGTATGTCTTCTGAATTTTAGTCTAGGTTTCTTTATGTAAGCATTTGTTAGGGAAGCTTAGAATTTTAGGAATTAAGACAGATAAATGTTTACGCTCCCAAACAAGTGGGTGACCAGAGCTTCTCTTACTAATGTCACTTACCTGTCACTGACCGCTTACCTGCGTTGGGCAGTGCAGAGACCTTCCGTGTGCTATGGAAACAGCATCCCTACTGAAGCAGTGCTATTGCAAACTCCAGTTAACTATGTTCTTGGAAGGTCTTGTTCAGAGAGAAGGTTCTGCCCATGTATCTGCATACGATTATTTTTCTCATGCAGTCCAAGGAGTACAATGTGAATGTCCCGTCCGCATCAGTCTTTCAGCATCACTGTGGGACAATAAGCTTTATTTGGGGTCCAGAAAAAGCCACACTGTCAGATAAAGCAAGCAAATGCAATATAAATCGGCTTTGCTAAATATTCAGTAGAGGTATTAAGGCAAAATAGCAGGGGCGCCTGGGCGGCTCAGTCGGTTGAGCATCCGACTTCGGCTCAGGTCATGATCTTGCAGTTCGTGAGTTCGAGCCCCCCATCAGGCTCTGTGCTAAAAGCTCGGAGCCTGGAGCCTGCTTCTGATTCGGTGTCTCCCTCTCTCTCGGCCCTTCCCTTGCTCACACTCTGTCTCTCTTTCAAAATAAATTAAGGTTTAAAAAACTTCAAAGAAAAAATAGCAAAATCCAAGTCCCTGACAGAGGCAGTGGTGAACACCGTACCTGGTACATAAGTGATGTTCGAATACTTGCTGGGTTGAGCAAGAGAAGCTCCAGGGCCGTGTCGTGTCTGTGTTCCGGTCTCTAATCCGGGGGTGCCTGCCCGTGCCCGAGTGGGCACTCCCTGACTGCTGCGGGAAGCAGGCCTGGCTGGGGTTGTGTGGTGTCACCTGGCACCCGGCAGGTAGTGGGACCCCGCCACTTCGAGAACTGGTAATAGGAATGGGTGTTTCGGCGGGGGGTGCGTGGGGGTGAGAGGAGTGGAATGTGGTGCCAAGAATTTTAAAAACCAACCACACCAGGATGAACAGCATACACTAGACAGGTATTTATGGTATGCCTTGTTCAGCGAGTCCAGATGGCATTTGACGTTGCTTGCCAACTGAATCCAGAGAGATTCAGCTGATGAGGGGAGGTCCCCCACTTTGAGGCTTCTTTACGAGGTTATCCTCGAGCTTCGCAAGGTTCTCCTGAGAGAAAAAGGGGTCAGCAGTGAGAGAGCGTATATCGCCGTATCCAGGAAGAAGTGGTCAACCTTGCATTCCAAGTATCAGAAATACCAGTTGTCCTTCACTTCATGGGTTTGGCCATGAAGTATGATCTCTGGCAAGCCTCATACGCTTTGTATACATGTTGAGAATGTGAGCAGTTCCTAAAGCGGGTATCTTTACAGTAAACTTCCCTTCCTTGTGACGCGTTTTAGAGAACAGCTGATGTTCCCTTTCCACTTCCTGGACCGGCTTGGAAAACACGATGTGACCTGCACCGTGTCGGGTGGTGGGCGGTCTTCGCAGGCGGGAGCCATACGCTTGGCGATGGCCAAAGCCTTGTGCAGTTTTGTCACCGAGGAAGAGGTCGAGTGGATGAGACAAGGTACGCGCTGAGGTGGGAGTTGGGGGTGGGGGGGCAGCTGTCTCCGCGCGATCTGTAAGTGGTCACGGAGTCCCGCACCAGTTACCGGAAATCAGAGAGTACTTGGTATCGCAGATTGCTGGCTTCTCTTTTCGTGCTCCAGGATCATAACAGTGTTTTACGGTTTTGATTTCTGTGAGGTGAGTTTGAATTAAAAAAAGAAAAGGAGGTCCTCCCGGCGTCCGGGAAAGTTTCTTTTGGCCTTTAAGGCCTAACCTCTTATCCAGTGTAGCAAGCGCTACTCCATTGTGTTTCACAGGTGAACCGGTGATGGGTTTTTTTTGGTTTTTTGGTTTTTTTTATTTTTTTAATGTTTGTTTATTTCTGAGACAGAGTATGAGTGGGGGAGGGGCAGAGAGAGAGGGAGACACAGGATCCGAAGCAGGCTCCAGGCTCTGAGCTGTCAGCACGGAGTCTGATATGGGACTCGAACTCACAAACCATGAGATCATGACCTGAGCCGAAGTCGGTCGCTCAACCGACTGAACCACCCAGGCGCCCCCCGGTGATTGTTTTATCATAGAAATTTGTAACTGTTTAGTGTAATAACCAAGCCCATACTGTTTCCAACATCATTGGAGATTTTTGTTTTTCCACTGTGATGTGGCTGTGAATTTTATGTTGTCTCATTCACTGCAACAACACTCTTGTCACCTCACCATGAATACAAGAGTCTGTGCAGTGTGAGAAAGAATACACAGTCAATATGTCCATTAGGGCCCCACTTTCACACTTAACTACAAATCAGGGCAGTTCTAGCTGAAGGTCACCCTCGAACTGTTCACAAAGGGAAGAAAGTGCTGGCTGCATGGCCTGGGCGAGTCACTTAGCGTCTCTGTGCCAGCACTTCCTCTCTGGGCACGCAAGCTGGCCTCTGCACCCCCTGCCCTCCCACAGGAGCCGATGGGTCCTCACTCCGTGCTGCAGATTGGCACCGCTTAGGGCTTAAGTTAGTTGAGTTTTTAAGTCTCTTAAAAGTCTGTAAACAAATTGATTTTTAAGAAACCCACTGTTTTGTGGGATTCATATCTAGTCATTAAAGTAACTTGTAGGACCTTACTTAACAGTTCTGCTAGTTTGACTTACTGTGTATATTAAAAAGTAATAAAGTGTTATTATTTATAATTCAAACTAGAATTTAGACAAGTCATGTCTGCATTTTGTCCAAAATACTGTTTTATTCCATGCCTTTTAAAGACAAGTAAATGCAAAAACTTACGTAACAAGTGATTGAGGTTTCCCTTTGCTTTACGGCCATTCACATACTCCTAATAAGATACCTGCACCTGTATGCAGTGACAAGAAGTGCTAGTTTTGGAAGAGTGAGAAAGACACTGAAAGACTGGGGTCTGTTTACATACTTATAAAAGCAATGTAAGAGCTTTCTTATCACTGGTATTCTTGAAATCTGTGGTTCCAGCCACCACTGGGGCACATTAATTGCCTAGAAATCTTAATAGCTCCTGATGATTAAGAGAGTGGAAGCTTCCAGAAGTTTCTTTTCTCAGATATGTTTGATAAGTCATACTGTATGTGTTTGTGAACTCATGTTCTTAACCCATAGTGCCCATATACTCCCTCTTACTTCATACAGTGCTGCTTTTCTGCCTCTTCTCCATTCGAACTTCCACACCTGTAATAATAAGTCGGCGACGTAAGTCCAGTCACAGTGAAGAGTGCCCGCCCACATAAGAGCAGACTTCAGTTGAACAGGCTTAAAAACTACAAGAACCCATGGCCCTCATGGGATAAGTAAGGAGAGCAGACTCAAACAACGTAGCTGGTGTTTGTCTCGAAATGGGGAGAATGTCCTAAAAGAGTGAAAGCAAACTGCTCTCATGAGATTTATTCCAGGCTGGTAAATTATTACAGGTCTGGTTGCTTTCCGGCTAGGCAGCGTGCTATTTCCATGGTTCATAAAGGCCTCTCTCTCTACACTGCAGCTGGACTGCTGACTGCCGATCCACGGGTCAGAGAACGGAAGAAGCCAGGCCAGGAGGGAGCCCGCAGAAAGTTTACCTGGAAGAAGCGCTAAGTGTTCTTTCACAGGAGAGGAGAGGAAACGCTGTGTATGTGTGCCCGGCATGCGGCAGACATATGATAAATATTTGCCGGCCAGTGTGAGGGCAACACTATCGGGCGTTTGAGTTGTGAGACGGTTTATTTTTAAATGCTACTTCGTAAAGGTTACCCTGTAAATACAATTTTTAAAACATGTTTAGCTTCATTCTCCTGCTTTATTTTTTAAACTTTTTCAGAAGGTAGTTTTAGAAGCACGATTCATAGAATTTTGGCATATTAGATCTGAAAGGAACATTCAACAAAATCTAGTCAAGTAACCTCATTCTGCAGACGAGAAGGTCCGGCCTCCAAAATGAAGGGACCCACCAGCGCTACACTGCTAACTGAACAAGAGAGGTAGACCAGAACTCGCTTCTCCTGCTGCTGTGGTTTTCCCGTACGGCAGCTGTTATCCCATATTTTCCAAACTGAGAGGTGAGGATGCTTGTTCAGAAGAATGAAGTAAGCTGTTAGCGTCTTTGTCAGGAGCCGGAGAGGGCTGGGCTGCCAGGCGTCAGAGGAGTGGCTTCAGACAACAGGCCAGTCTCCCGCCGGCCCCTGGCAGCCACCATCCTCCTGTTTCTATGGGTTCAACTTCGTAAAGATGCTACATAGAAGTGATACCGCGTGCTGTTGGCCTTCATCCAGCTTCTTGCCCTGAGCGTAACACTCTCCACGTCGGGTACACGCTTTCAGCTACAAGGTGAATTAGTTCTGAGGATCTAACATGGTGATGATGATACTGTACTGTTACAATGGAAATTTGCTTAGAGAGTAGACCAGAAGCACTCTCACCAAAAAAGGTGGGGCCGGGGGGGGTGCGTAACTCTGCAAGGTGATGGTTGGGTTCATTAACTTGATGGTAGGAACCCTTTCACAAGCCTTGTATATGTGCACTGGGGGGGGGGGGGGGGGGGGGG